TTTTAACCTCCACAAGGACCAGGCACACATGTGGCAAACAGACATACGTAAGGCAAAACTTTCAAATAATAAAAATAAATGAAAGTATACAAACTTAGGGAAAAAAAAAGGAACTTAAGCTTGAGATCTCACACAGACTAGACAAGTGCTCTACCACTGAACCCTCCTCCCAGTCCCAAGATTTTTTTTTCAAGACAGGGTTTCTCTGTGTAGCCCTGGCTGTTCTGGAACTGACTTTGTAGACCAGGCTAGCCTCGAACTTAGAGGTCCACCTGACTCTGCTTCCCGAGTGCTGGGATTAAATACATGTGCCACCACTGCCTGGCCTAAAATTTTTTTAAGACAGTCTCACTACAGCTCAAGCTGGTTTCGTGCTAATGATCTTCCTGCTTTAATCTCCACAGCTGGGATGACAGGCATAAAGCACTGCAGTTGGCGAAAGAATCTTACCTTCTTCTTTTACTTTTTTTCTTTTTCAGATTCTTTTCTGTGCATGTGCATTAGTATACGTATGTACCACAGTCCCTACCAGAAGTGTGTAGTGGTCAGAAAGTAAACTATAGAAGTAGGTTCTCTCCTTCCACGCAGGTTGCCAAGCTTGGTAACAAGCACACGTACGCACTGATGGCACACAACAAGATGGCACTTATTTATTTATTTACTACATTGTGTGAGTGTGTGAGTGTGTGTGTGTGTGTGTGTGTGTGTAAATCAGAAGACATCTTGTGGGAGTCTGTCCTCTTCCTCGTAGTATCATGTGGGTACCAGGGACTGACCTCAGGTCTCAGGTCATCACTTGATGCTAAGTGCCCTTATCTGCTGAGCCATCTCTGCAGACCAAGATTTATCTGTCTTTAGATTAATTTTTATTACTTTACGTATACAAGTGTTTTGCTTTTGTGCATGTCTGGTGTTAGAGGAGGTGCTGCACCTTTATGTAAGTGCTGGGAATTGAACCAGAGTCTTTTGTAACGAGTGCCACAGGGCCGACTCTCCAGCTTCCCCAAGATTTATCCTAAAAAGAATAAAAAAAGTGTGTGTGTGTGCATGCACACACACACACATGTTGAAGCATGCATGTGTACTGGTACCTACAGAAACCAGAAGGAGAGCAGGATTCTTTGGAGCTAGAGTGTTAACTGGTTGTGCAAGACCCAATGAGAATACTAGGAGCCCATACTCGGGCTGTTGCCAAAGCAGGAAGTGCTCTTAACCAATCCCTCAAGTCTTTTTTTTTTTTAAGATTTATTTATCTGATTTTATGTGTGCTGCAGTTTTGCCTACATGTCTCTATGTGCACCATAAACACAGTGCTCACACAGGGGCCAAAAGGGAGCACTGGATCCTGGGAGCTGGAGTTATAAATAGCTGAGAGCTCCCGTGAAGGTACTGGGAACTGACCTGAGTCCTCTGCAAAAGCAACTCTCAAACACTGAGCTAGCTCTCCAGCCCCAAGATTTGGTCTTTTTAAAGATTAAAAAGTTTGAGAGCCTGAGGCAGGATTGCTCCAAGGCCAACCTGGGATACACAGTGATACTCTGTCTTGGAGATCAGACAGACAGACAGACAGACAGACACACACACACACACACACACCATCCATCGAGTAGGGCACTATCTATCTTGGCTGTCACCAGTATATAAACGGCTCAAGGCTTCAGTCCTGCCTGAGCTGTGGGTGGTCAACAGGCTGGACTTCAGCCAGAGCAACCTCTGGTCATACTTGCCAGAGTTCCAAGCATATCTCCCAGTATGAGGAAGCCAGTGCAGGGGCCTGAAGAATGTCCAGCCCCTACCTCAGCTCCTCTGGGCTCAAAACCAGATCTGGCTGCCAAATCCTATAGAAACAGACTTGGTTGCCATAGCAAAGCTACAGACACTTCCCCTGGCTGTTCCCTTGAATGTCCCCTTAAGCACATCTTTTCCATCCCAACCAGGCAAAGTATTACAGCTAAGGTCCCCAGAGTGCCTTTGCTTACTTCAGACTTGAAGATCTCCTAGAATCTCTAAAAAGCCAGGGCAGAAAGAACCCTGTCCGCCTCCTTCCCTCCCAGCTTCCCAGCTCAGCCTGTAGCCTCAGTTTTCCTACTGTCTATATCCACAATCCCAACTTGGCGGGTGGGGGTCCCTTAATTTGCTTCTCCTTCCCAGTGTTCTGCTGTCAAACTTGTGGCAGCAGGTCCAGGGCTCTGCTTCTCACATGGCTTTGACCCCCTCAGGCATGCTTCTCCCCACCCCACAGAAATGTGGGTAAATCACTAAAGTCCCAGGTCAGACAGAATGTAGAGCAGAGACCTGGTCATCCCCATCCCACGCTATAAACCTGCTTCTGGCACTCACAGCAGCTCCAACCATCAAACCTGGATTTCAAGGCTGCTCCCCCTGCCTCCTCCCCTCCCCCATACAACAGGCATCCTCCCCTGGATCTCTTGGGACTAGATGGCCTTATTTCTTGGCTTCTATACTGTGACCTCTTCTGCTTGGGACATTCAAGAAGCATTCAAGAAGTCCTACATTATCAGCTCAGTCTTAGTAGTCTGTTTTCCTTAAGCCATATTGCTCTTCCCTGGGCTGGTGTTCTGGGGATACTAGGAGTATCTGTTGAGGGATAGGAGGCTGGTAGTTTCTTCTCCAAGAGCTTCTTTCTCATAGACAAGCCAGTCAAGATCTGATACAGTGCTGGGTGCCCACTTGCTGGTAAGACCTGATTTATGGGAACCCTTGTCTACAGCAAGATACAACCAGTTCTTAACAGCAGACAGAAGCTGGAACTTCACACATATGGCACTTATGGCACAGTAACCATGACCACGGGCCCCAGACTCAGACAGACCTGAGTTCAAATTCTACGTTGACCATTCAAGAGAATAACTGGGTAAATTGCTTGACCTTGAAGGAGACTGAATTTCTCACTATAAAACATTTTAATGGACCCAAGTCTGAAAGGAGCTATCAGAGATAGCTTCACCTGTACCTTCTTCCTATTTTCCGCACCAGGCATTGCTTCATCCATGATGTATACCCTCTGGGTGCTTAGAATAGCGATACCCCTAAGACTGTTTAGTCTGACCCCTGAGTAGCTAGAAGCCAGCTGGGAGGGAAGGGTACGAAGCCCCGTTTGTTTCTATTGTGTCAGCCACAGATAATAACTAAACATCCTTTCATTCATTTCCAGAAAGACTCTGATGTACAGCTACAAGAAGTTACATCAAGGAACTTCTCGGATTTGGGCAGCACTCTTGGCCACTCCTAGTCTGTGGTCACCTTAGTCAGGCTACATATAGTGGTTCTCATTTCCTGATTAGACAGCTACAACTAGATTTAGGACCTCAGGAGACAGGGACTTGAGTTTCCACAGAGAAACATGAAAGTATGGATTATCTTCAGGAGTGTCTTTATGACTCAAGTAGTGCCTGTCACAAAGACCCTCAAGAAAGGTATCTGAGACATGGAGAGGCCCAAAGAAGACTTAATAAGGCCAACGGTGAACAGTCTGCAAAGGAATGAGTCTGTGTTTGCAGGGGGAGGGGCAGGCGGGGAGATGAGACTGAAGTGACAGATACCTCTAGACCTCAGCCTCATCTGGTCATGTTGGCCAGACTCAAAAGAGTCTAGGCTGGGACAACCGGCCTCTAGTGAGGGTTAGAAAGTGCTGATCCAGCTTTCTCACTATCTCACTTGAATCATACATCACCGTGCATACCAGAAGGCTCTCGGACTTTGCCCTGATCTGCCTCTTAACCTCACCTATCACTTGTTAGTGCTTGCTGGCTTGCTCCAAGCCCTTTCTCACAGGGCCTTTATCCCTCTGGCTCCCTCTGCCTGTAAGGCTCTTCCCACAATGTCTCAAGACTGAGCGCTTCTCCATCAGGTCCTTGGCTAACCCTACCAAAGACTTAAGAACGCCCACACTTTATCTGCGTTCAGCTCCCCACCCCCGTAATACTTATCACAGTTCCTCATGATTTTTAACTTTTCGTCGGTCTCTCGCTCCTTTTAGAATAAGAGTACTGGAGGTGAGTTGCCACAGGAAGACATTTACCAAAGTCTTGAAATTTTTTGTCTTAGCAAAACAGGCTGTGGGTATTATTACTACCATCCAGTGAACAAACCCAGAAATGCTGCTAAACTGCGTACAGTGTATAGGACCCTAGAGGCAGAATGATCTGTCTCAAAACCGCGTACCAGATGAGCTTATCAGTTTGGAATCCGGTTCTCCGACTCTCCAGAGCCTAGAATACTGCTTGGCACACAGGCAGCGTTCAAAAAAGGTAGGAGTGTAGAGAGAACGAAAGAGAGAGTGAAGAGAAGGGGTGACAGATCTACTGAGAGTCAGAAGGACTTACAGAGGCTGAGACCCCAGCTGTCTCAGTCCCGCCCCCCCAGGCTAGGCCCACGACCGCTCGCGACGCTCCCATAAACAGCCAGCACCTCACCGCACCCCCTGGAAGAAGGAGCCCCAGGTCTTGTGCTCCGCGCGCTCACTCACCCGCCCGCGGCTGCCTGGGAGCACAGGCTACACCCTCCGGCATCATCTTGCCCCTCTCGGCCCGCGGCCGGGAAAGGTACAGGATACAGGAGCCGGAAGTCCCAAGACGCTGTGCACGTCGGAAGTTGTAGTTCACGGACTTCAGGAACTCTGTGGGCTGCTTCACGCTTTGAGCTTCCTAAACTACGACTTCCGGCGACCTCTGCACTGAAGAACCGGATTGGTAGCTTCAGAATCACTCTATGTTGCAGATCGGAATTTGATTGGCTAACTGGACTCGTCACTCATGGACTCAATGGCTTTACAACCGAGAGGATATTCGAGCTACCCAAGATACCGCCTCCAAAACAAAATCCACGGTACGATTGGTGGAAATTGAAGGATAGCTTGAGGAGCATATCAGCAGTGGAGGAAGGTGGGCACTTCCTCAGAGATGGCCCAATCACATAAGGAGCAGTTCTATAAACTCTTGAGCCCCTCGCGCAGACGATCTTTTCGGGAGTGTGTCTTCTTCCTTTTGTACTGGCTTTATAAGGAACGTTTTGTGAGTAGTGGTTGACGAATGGAACACAAAGGTCCTCTGATCTGCACATCCACCTTTCTGCAGAGCTGAAGTGCTTTAGTCGTAAGGGTTTAACCTTTTCCCTTACCTTCTGACTCCCTTTTTGCAGGTAAGGACGAGTCGGGCCTGGCTTCCCTTTTATAGCCTCAAGCCTGTGATGAATTCCTTTAATTTCTGACACCTCGTATGAAAACTGCATGTGCAGTCTGATTACATTATAAGTCTGAGGCTTGGGGATGACGCCATTAATTGGATGGGTTTTGAGTGAAAAGTTACCCAAAATGATTTATGTCTGTATTTGATTTTTCAGAGCATGTTGAGTCGGCTGCAGATCTTGACTGTAAATTAGCGTCTAGAGACCCCGCGGGTAAGCTGGACATCTGTGTATCTGAGTTTCTTAGCAATAAAGCAAAAGTGAACCTTACTGTGATTTTAAGTGTCGTTATTTCATGTGCGTGCTGCTAGCACAGTACGATAGAGGCCCTGGTTTGTCTTCACGCAGTCTGCAAAGGGGTTGAGTAAGGTCTTCTGTTTGTATCATCCTAGTCTGGGGTGAGCTTTTAAGCCAGTACTGCTTCAGAAACAGCTTTCGTGGCACCCTAGTCTTGATAATCAAGGATTCCTGTGGGACTTTTTGTGAGGATATCTGCACGTGTGTAAGTTCGTGTTTCCCCAGTTCTGGGACTGGTACAGATTTGCTGGGAAGTGCCTTTATCCCCCCACCCCCCGTAAGCCATTCTTTTGGCCCCCGAAGGTGATTTTCCACAGATGACACAAACTCCAGAAACACCTTTATTAATAGGGACTTTGAGGACTGGTTTTCACTCAACATTAGTGGTTTGGTGACTTTAGTACAGGGTGGAGAGGACTAGGCTGGCCCGCTAAGTGATAACATGGTTCTATCATCCCGATTTTCCTGTGGCTTCCTACATCAGAGTCTCCTAGTGAGATGGAAGCAGCCCAACAACATGACTGACAGCCTTCAGTCGGGGTGGCGCCTGCCTGTGCCTTGTGCAATAGGCATAGCTTTTCAAGAGGCACTATACATATGGTGCCATCCTCACCTCTCGGGGTGCCCACTAGAGGGCAACAATGGTCCATGAGATGGTTTGTATGCTTAAAGACCATTTCTGGGCCGGCCACTGGGGTGAAGGGTGTGAGAGCATTAGCCTTGGGTGTCTTGACAAGGAAGACACTTGACTCCCAACTTTTGAAGGTAGAGCTGTTTCCTCCAGCATGGAACTGAGATTCAGCCAGGTTCAGAGTCGACAGCAGGAAACCCCTTGGCCCTCCCTCTTCACATAGTCATGCAGCCTGAAGCGGGGCTCACTGGGAGCTTTCAAGGATCTTTGTTTCAGCTCCCTGAAAAGCAGCGGGGGATGGAGGTAGATAATGGCACAAGGTAGCCCACTCAGCCACTTACCCTCGAATGTGAAGGCGGTGCTGCTGTTCATAGCAGGGCTTACTTTGCTATGGCTGTAAAAGCTAAGTCCACGTTGAGGCCTGTCTTCGCGCTGGTCTCCATGAAAGGCAGTCCATATTCCTGCAAACAGCTGCTGCCAGCTAGGAGCTGGGCACATGGGGCCAGTGCAAGCGCCACAATCCAAGGACACCCTCATCACCCTGTTTAGACTCACCTTGGCTAGTTTCTCCCCATCTTCCCTCTTTACCACACGTTCTTGAGCAGAGTCAACCTGGCCCAGGCACAGGGTTTTTCATTACTACTAGTCCATGACATTCCCTGTGGGGCCAGACTGCAGAGGAACAAGAGGATTCCCACCTTGTTCCCCAGTAGCATGAGCACCACGTCCTGCTGGGCATATTCTTGGATCTCCGTCAACCAGGCCTGTATGGGGAAAGCCGGGGCCAGTCTCAGGGCTGGTCCTTGGCCTCTTGTGCCACACCTGATGGAGTGGCTTTTCTAGAAGCCCTTATCCGGGTGGTCCTGCTAATGGAGCCAGGTATCACCCAGGCCCATTGAGTTAGCAAATAACCTGGTAACCATGAGATGAGGGGTTCATCAGGTCTATCCTTCCTCTTAAGTCCCAGGACTCTGGGGATCCTGATGCCATTTGGACAATCCTGGTTCATTCCCCCACCAAGGAGGCCACTGACCTGAATGTTGTCGAAGGAATCTTTGTTGGTGATGTCGTAGAGCAACAACAGTGCTGGATACAGAAAACAATGAGGACATTCCTGGAACCCAGTGGCTCCTCAAGTCATAGGATGTGACAGCATCATCCTCACCTGCTGTCCCATAGTGCACCTACTCGCCCCCTGCCCCCTGCCCCCATGCCAGTAGGTAACCCAGACTCTGGAGGATAGCTGATCCCCATGTCTGTGGGCTTACCATGAGCATCCCGGTAGTAGGCATGGGTGACACTTCGGAACCGCTCCTGACCAGCTGTGTCCCAGATCTGTGGCGACAGGCATTGGTCATACTGCCCAACCTCTCCCTAGTGTCTCCAGCCCCACACTCCTGTAATCTCACCTGCAGCTTCACCTTCATGCCATCCACATCCAGAACTTTATTCTGAAACAAAGCAGCATCAATAAGGATGCCTGCCACCCTCTGGTTGAAGTAGGAAAGGCAGTAATGTAAGCCATGGATGAACTTGAGGGGAGAATGGAGGACACCATCCCATTCCTACGGCATCTCCTGGGTCTCTTTCTGCTCTGAGAACTTAAGGTCACATTTATGCTTAAAATCAAAGGCTCCTAGCAGATGCCTGATAATCCCTGTGAATGCCTCCAAGACCAACCCTGGCCTTTGCACACACACACACACACACACACACACACACACACACACACACCAGGTCATATACAGTTCCTACTTGCCAAAAGTGTAGCACTATTAGTACACTGTTCCTGCTTAAAGACAGCTTAGAAGCATCTTCAACTTGAGCTACTATGTACACTGAGAACTACACCCTGCCTGAAGAAGCTAATTTTATCCCTATCCCCTGCCCCCCTCAGTCACTGGACACCCATTTTCCAGGGGATGGACTTATTGCCTATCCGACTCTGTACAATGCCCACAGAGCTCAGATCTATAGTTGATGCATAGGTTATATTCATGAATTTGCTGTCTGCAGGTTTTCCAAATTGGTCCCTTTCAAGATTAGACACTAGACTGGAGTGCCTGTCACCCCAAAGAAGGGTTGACTAGAGGCTGGAGCTATGGGATGCTAAGCCTGGCTCTCCCTTTCTCCAGAGCTCTTGCTATCAGTGCTTCTAGGTCTCCAGGGAACCAGGATCAGCCATCTGCCTGCTGAGGGAGGATTACCTTTCCTGCATCCTGCACAGGGGTGCAGACCAAGCAGCCCTACAAACCAGGAGGAGGAGGGGAGGGAGACCATGACAGGCAGGAAGCCCCTGCTCTCAGCCTGTCCTGCTCGCTCTGACACTTCAGCCTTTACTTCATCCTAGACTTGTACAACCTAGAGGGCTTAAAGAGACCTACAGTACTTAATCGGGATAAAGAACAGTTCCCCCTGGAGGGAGCACCCTTTCCTGTCTCCAGAAATGGGCCTTCCTCCCAACATCCTGCTAACTGGGTCTAATTAAAGGGTGAGAAAAATGCAAATTCAGGATTTGCCAAGAACACAACAACACCTCAGCACATGAGATTCAGGCTGGGCAGGGTCGGGGGTAGGGATGGGGTTTAATGCTGGAGCTCCCAGGACCCCGCCTAGCATCCTAAGGAGGTCTCCATATGCAAAAGCAGGGGCCTCCCAAGTGAACAGGCCCTTAGGTTTTCTCTCTGTCACTATCCTGGAGCACAGATATAGCTCAGCACAGCATCAAACCCTGGTATGAAAACTCTGCTTCACCAGGCGGTGGTGACGCATGCCTTTAATCCCAGCACTTGGGAGGCAGAGGCAGGCGGATTTCTGAGTTCGAAGCCAGCCTGGTCTTCCAAGTGAGTTCCAGGACAGCCAGGGCTACACAGAGAAACCCTGTCTCGAAAAACCAAAAAAAAAAAAAAAAAAAGAAAGAAAGAAAAAAGAAAACTCTGCTTCAGCTGAATCCTTGGGTGTTAGAAGGCTTCCCCAGGACCCTCAGGTGTTGGGAGGCAGCTGGTTTGGTAGGTAAGCTCCACCCGTTGGGCCTATGGACACTTCAAGGGATGGAGAATCAGCTGGCCAAGGGTACTGGGAGGACTCTGTATAGGAACCATAGCAAAGCTGGACCCAGTCAGAGCTCAGGACATCAGCCTCAACTCTTACCCGGAAGTCAATGCCCACAGTGGAGATGAAGGTACCAGCCAGGAAAGCCCCATCCTTGAAGCGCACAAGCAGGCAGGTCTTCCCCACACCAGAATCCCCCACCAGCATGACCTAGAGCAGACAGACGGATCAGAGGATTCAGGTTTGAGGCTGAGGGCTGTGCCCACCTAGAGATGCATCTGGTCTGCCTTGAGCTGTGGGGGAGGGGCAGGAGAGGAGATGAGTGTTCCAGGCTTGTAGGTTCAGCACAGCCTAGGGAAACATAGCAGCATGATCCCCAATAGCATGGATGCCCAGTTTCTCTGCCCCCGTTAGTCCTCTGTCACCTGGCCCTCCAACAAGGCTGCCTCGGTCAACATGGAGTAAGGACAGCTGTCCTCATCCAGGATCTTACCGACCCCTCCTCCGTAGACATCATGCTTGACCTGGGAGGCAGCATTTGGGGCCAGAGCCATGGGATTGCAGCTGGAACCTAAGAGACCCGTGGGGACCCAGTACCAGGGGTTTCTTCGAATTTCAGCAAAGACACAAATCTCAGCAGCAAGGCTCAGGAAAGGTGTGCCAGTCAGCTTTTGAAGTGAATAGGGGCTAGAGATGATCTGTGAGCCTGAGGGGCAGACCAGTGAAGTCGTTCCCTCCCTATAATCCCTGGGGCCTATGTTCCAGAACCCAGTGATGGCCGTGCCTTCGGAGGTCAATTCGCATAGGCTTCAATTTTGGTCTGGTCTGGGGTGGCCTCTTTCTCCTCCCTCCCAGAAAAGGGAGACTTACAGCTCCTGGGGTGAGGGAAGGCAGCATATGGATGGGAATTGATGAGACGGAGCACCGGTAGGGGCCATAGGTTCTAGAGGGGCAGCTTTTAATCTTTCAGGACCCCTTGGTTGGCCTTACAGTAGTAGGTGGAGTGGGGGTAGGGCCCTGCCAGCTGTTGAATACCCCAGACCCAAGTCTAATAGTTTGTGTGTGTGTGTGTGTGTGTGTGTGTGTGTGTGTGTGTGTACGCGCGCGCTCGTGCACGCACGTAGGGCCGCGCGACAATGTGGGTACTGCCATGCCAGCTGCGAGGTGCTGTTCTAGCCAGCCAGTTCAGCGCCGAGGGTCCGCATGGCCCTGCTCTCTTCCCCAGCGGCGGTCTAGGATCCAACGCCACCTGCTGCATTCCCATGGCTGGGAGGTGCCTGGCTCACCTTGAAAGCAACGTCGTAGAAGTCTCCAGTGCCACCAAGTGAGGGCCCGCCGGACTGCGGGGGCCCGTTGGGCGGTGCCTCTGGGCCAGGGCGCGCAGTCCTGGGATGTGCCAGACGTGGCCCGTTGGCGGCGGCGGGCAACGTAGAGGCAGCCGGCACACTTCCCCCCTTGCTCTTGGAGGTCTTCTTCCTGGACATGGTTCTCAGTGTGCTCTTGCTGCTACCACCGGATCCCGGGTTGTCCCACGCTCCGTGCCCGCCAAGACAGACTCGGACCCGAACCCGTCCCGCAGCAGCAGCGGCAGCGGCAGCAGCAGCAGCATCTCCAGCACTCAGTGCCTACCCCGCCCCCGCGTCCCCACAGGCGGCGCAGCCACTCAGGCCCGGCCTCCCGCCACCGCTGCCAATGACCGCTCTGAGGCGGGGCCATGCAAATAAGCCCGTCGCTCCAGGGGCGGGGTCAAGAGGTCCCACGAAGGCCTTAGGTGTGCATCCCAGGAGCATGCTCAGGTGCACTGTGCTCAAGGGCTCTAGCTGTCTAAGTCGAGTGAAGCACTTGTATCTTGTGTCCTCTCGGTGCACTGTTCCTTGCCCCAGTCTTCAGTATCCCAGCTCAGTAACCTAGCTCAATAGACTGGTCCATGGACCTGGGACTGCGATGAGACTGGGACTGAGATGAGGATGCTGAGGCAGATGGCTTGCATGAGTAGGCAGCCTGAGATTCAGGGTTTTTTCATCAGAGACACCAGCTATCTGATACTTGTCCTCAATGCTATTCCCTCCAGGCCAGGTAAATTCAGGAAGCTCCAACACTCGTGCAATCTCTGCTATGCCAGGGCACTCTGGGCTCAGCTGATCAGAGGCATAATGGGCACAATGTTCTTTCTCATGTATTTTTCCACCTGGGCTGAAGCATGGGTATCTGAAGTGAGAAAGGAAGTAATTATCACAGCCATCCAGCATCCGGCCCTCTGAGATAATCATTGCAAGACCTCTGCCCTGACAGCCTGGGAGACTAAAGGTCCCTTCCCCAGAATTGACTGGTCCATGGTCTTTCCATCCTAGGTTTTCATCCAAAAGAGTTCAGTGTTGATTCTCTAGGCCCCCAAACTGGTCCAGGACCTGGTATACCCTTGCTGCTTCACTATGCTGACTGGAGGAGTTCTGTCCAAAGCCTCTCACCCAAGACACTCCAGTCAGGAGAAAGAAACTTCAATGGTCAGAGGTGAAGACAGTGGATGCTGCAGGGCGCTGCCCTTGAGACACAGTATTTCTTGGTGTTCTTCTGGAATGGCCTAGCTATTCTCCAAGATGTGATCGTTGAAACCAAAACACTGGGTCTCTTGGGGGCCTCCTAGGCTTTCTCAGTTGGCAGTGAGGAGAGCATGAAGAACTCTCTACCTCTGGGACTCAAAGCCTCCTCCTATCTTTTTCAGGCCAATCTCCAGATCTGTATGTCCTGACCTAGAGTGGAGGTACTAGGATCTCACTTTTTCATTCCCTGAGGACTTCAGTATCCCATCCTCACAAGGCCAACCTCAAGGTGATTGGCCTAGAATCTCAGCTGAGAACCTCAACAGCCTGTGCCTATTGCTCTAGTAAATAGATCATACAACCTCCTTCCAGCTGCTGCCCGGAATCTGTCCAGTACGGGGGATACACAGAGTTCAAGTTTGGATGCTCTGGGGCAGGGGCTGCAAAGAGGAGATCCAGGATGTGAGCAATGAGAACACTGCAGGCATCTAGGAGGAGAGAGGGAACAGGCAAGCCAGAGAAAGTGGGAGGGCAGCAGAGGAGGGGGGCCTCCACCAGCAGAGGAGACAGACTTGCCTTTAAAAGGAGGAACATTTACATAAAATCCAGGTCTCTCCTTTCTCCTGAGAAACCTTGGGCTGCTCTCTCTCTCTTCCCCACGCTTCTGCTCATCTTGGATTACTGTATCTCAAGGCTTCTGTGCTCCCATCCGTTCTTCATTCTGGAATGGAAGCTTTTCTGGGCACAAGAAGCAGCTTGTCTTGGTCACGGCCATATCCCTGGCAGCCAGCTCCTGGCCTCAATAAGCAGCTACTAAATTGGTGAAAGAGTTATAGACACAACCTCAGATGGACTAAGTGGCGCATGCCTTTAATCCTTGTGTTCCTGAAGCATAGGTAGGCAGATCTCTGTGAGTTAAAGGTGAGCCTGCTCTACATAGCAAGTTCCAGGTCTATCAAGGCTACCTAACGAGACCCTGTCTCAAAAGTAATTAAGTAATTAATTAGTTAACTCATTCAGCTTCCAGCTGCTGCCTAGAATCTGTCCAGTGGCATGATTAGAGAACACTCAAAGCAGTTAATGGAGAGTAACTGACTAAGTAAGCCAAGTCTCTCATGAACACAGAAGCCCAGTGGATGATGCTGTATACAACAGTTCTTCAATGTCTAGACCAAACTATCCTTAAGCTCACAATCTTCCAGCCTGGAGCCTACCAAGTACTGAGATTCTAGCAGGCCACCATGTTCTTCTAGAGATGAGCCTTTTAAAACTATAGTTTCCTAAGTATTTGGGAGATATTTGTCACACAGCAATAAATAGCTAATTGCATCTCAGAGCAAGCTCCAGGGAAGGGCCGAGTTTGGTAAGAAAGGGTAAGCAGGAGGTAACAGCTTGGAGTCCTCCAAACTCTGAGATCTTCAAACTCGGAAAGAAGAGCACAGCTGGTAGGGACCAATTCCCAAGGTAGGGAGTCAGAACTGGCTGCATGCTCCCTGGAAAGTGTAGTCCAGCCTTCAGCCTTGGAATGTAAAGAAAAAGATGTGTAGCACATGTCCTTGTCTCCAAATGTATGGAGCCACCCAGGTCTCTCATGCCCCTCAACTCCTGTAAGTTTCTAATCGGTCTTTCTGGGAGCTGCCCTAATACAGTGTGCCCAGTGAGTCCCCAGCCTAGCCTGTCTCTCATCTTGGGGTAGGCTTCTAGCTTTACCCCAAGTCCAGAGTCTGGCCTATGCTGGAGAACAGACAAGAACGAGAGCCATCTTCTTGACCTTACAGGCTCTGCTTAGAACCCTGCTTCCCGCACTCCTCCTGTCTCCGCTTCCTGCACCCTGGATGCCCTCCAGTGGTTCTCCAGAAGCTTCTATACTGATCTGGGAGCCTTCTGAGGACAGACCCTTGTGCTACCTGCTCTTGTCCTCTCTGGCACCAAAGAGAAAGCTCTGTGATTGATTGGCAGGAAGTTAGTCTGGGCTGCAGGGGTCCTTTAGCAGGCAGAAGCAGAGCCCCGAAGCTTGTGTTCTCAGAGCATCTCCTGAGGAGTCAGTCCTGTGGAACTCAGCTGTCTTCTAAGTGCCAGAGGGCAGAGGTCCCTTTCTTGCTGTGTGACCCTGGGTATTTGGCATTGTCTCTCTGGAACTACTTCCTGTTCCGTAAAATGTGGAGGAGGAGTTGCTCTCCAAGGGCCCTTCCTGATCAAACACCTTATGTTCTATGAAATCCTTGTGAAAGTTGCCATGGAAACATCAGAAGAACTGCAACAGCCCTGAATTGTATGAGAGAGAGAGAGAGAGAGAGAGAGAGAGAGAGAGAGAGAGAGAGAGAACACACTGAGTCACCCTAGAAAAGAGGTGATGTCAGAAGTATATTGACTCTGGCACCCAGATGTAAAGGATCCAAATATATTCCAAATATATTCTTCTGCTGCAAAGATATCCCCAAGAATTTACTCATCTTGGTGGCCCTGATTTGGTGTCCCTAATGTCCTGCTGACTGGTAGTAATGGGTGAGTCGCCATCTTTGCCTGAAGAAACAGCATCTGTATGGGGCCCAAGCAGAGAGTAGCTCATTTGAAGGTTAAGACCACAGTGGCTTATGAGGCAGAGGTGCTCACCACACTCGAGGTGAGTCTGTGCACAGCCGTAAGCACAGGACTGGAGTAAGAGCTGAAGCAGAGCTTCATTTAGCATGACAGGATTCTATCCCTAGCACTGAAAGTAAAAGTCACATTCTCTATGTTCTTGGGGGCCATGGTCCCTAACTCTGTACTCCTATGGAGTCAGGGACCAGTTCTCAGCAGTGCTGGCTTCCAGCTCCTCAGTGGGACCCTCTTGTCAACAGAGGGGGCTGAGTGGGTTCTTGTGGATCCACATTCTCAAATGACATAGGAAATAGAAGCATAGAATAGTTCCTTGCTTTACCACACATAATCCTTAGGGTCTTCTTTATTTTTTCTTTACAGGAGGAGATGCTTTTTAATGCAGGTCCTATGTTGCCTCGTTTTGCAAAAATAGTTGTATGGATATCTAGGCAATGTGATATCTAAGAATTGCCTAGGTTTAAAGTGTACAAGTCGAAGGGCTAGGGAGATGGCATAATGTGTAAAGTGCAAGTTGGGCAAACTTGAGGACCTGAATTCTGATTTCCAGCACCTGATTTAAAAAAGGGGGGTGGGATGGGGTGGGGCTGGCTTGCCACTGTGTCTGTTGTAACCCTGCAGCTGGCAAATGGAGACAGGGGAAATCTGGTCCGGCTGAAACATTAAGCTCCAGATTCAGTGAGAGACTGTCTCAAAAACTAGGATAGGGCTGGAGAGATGACTCCATGTTTAGGAACATTTGCCACTCTTGCAAAGGATTCCATTTCTAGCATACAGTTTACTGGGGGTCTGTAGTTGCTTTTCCCGAGGATTCACTGCCCTCTTCTGGACTCTGTGGGCACTGCATGTATGTGATACACTTCTATACATGCAGGTAAAACACTCATACATAAAGAATAAAAATAATTAATTAATTAAAAATAATAACAAGTCGGGCAGTGGTGGCACACACATTTAACCCCAGCACTCAGGAGGCAGAGGCGAAGTGGGCGGATCTCTGTGAGCCCAAGGCCAGTCTTATGCACTTAGTGAGTTCCAGGACAGCCAGAGCCACATAGTGAGACCCTGTCTCAGAAAAAAAAGATGGAGGGAGGGAGGGGGCAGTGCTGGGAAGTACAAACACATGCGCACATGCACACACACATACAGAGTATACAGTTTATTTAATAATATGGAGGTTTCTCATCTGGGCATAACATGGCCATCACAATCTTGAAATCAAAGCCGCTGTGGTTACCGTCATGAGACCCTCACAAGACTGAATCCCTTTAACATTTCCTCCTGAGAGGCGCTGGGGAGAGCTCCCACAAGACACACACAGTTCCTCATCTCCTGGGAGAAAAGAC